CCCACTCCCCCGCCAAAAGAACGCTAAGCTGAGTCACAAAGTGCTGCATGCCGGGAGAGGGGGGACACCCCTACTTCCGGGACCTTCACCCCATAATTGGGCAGAACATGTTCCCACTAGAACTGTGGCAGAGGCGCGGGCCGGAGGGTGGGACGGCCCGGCCCCGCCCGCGGAGGCGGAGCTGGGAGCAGCCGCGTGGTGGAGCCGAGACCCCCAGCCCACCTCCGCCCGCAGGCATTTCTCAGATTCATCTGTTCCACTGGTGACTAATCGCCCTCCGGCAGGGTGATGGGGAGAGAAGAGGAGCACCCAGTCGCTGCAGACCCTCCCCTGTGCCCGGCCTTCCCCGCGGGTTAGCTGACGACTGCGCTTAGGTGTCTTTCCCGCTTCCCCTCGCTCTCAGTTTCTCCACCCTCCTCAGACCTTCCCATGCATCTGCCCGGGCTCCACAACCCCACTCTCAAGAGTTCAGGGGGGCTCAGCCAGGGCCTCAGTTGCAAGTGGAGGTCCCAGGAGAGGGTATTTCAGGGACGGTGAACAAGGCTGGAAGGCAGAAGGGAACCTGGCATTTTCAGACGATGGCTACCGCTTCCTGAGCAGTTCCAGGTGCCTTGCATGGATTAATCTTCACAATAACCCCATGAGATAATGAGGCTTTAAGTTCATTTTGAGGATTAGGAGACTGAATCACGGAAGCCTAAGGAAACTTGGTCGTGTCATGAAGCTTCTAAGTGGTGGGGCTGGGACTCGCCTGCTAGTCTGACTCAGGAGTTCATGCTTTTGGCCACTTTAGGTTCTGTCCCTGTACCTGTGACTGGGCCTAACTGAAAGAGGTTACAGAAGGAGGAGCGGTGAAGCACTGAGGGTGGAGATGTAGGCATTGTGCTGTATGGTCCTTGGAGGTTTTATTTATTTATTTTAAAGTATATTTTAAAATATATATATTTTATTGATTTCATAGAGAGGAAGGAAGAGGGAGAGGAAGATAGAAAAATCAATGATAAGAGAGTGAGTCGCTGATCGCCTGCTTCCTACAGGCCCCCTGTTGGGGATCAAGCTGAAAATCAACTGGGATATCCTGGATCGTAGGTCAATGTTCACCTGCCCAGGCACAGGGGCAAGGCATGCCCTGGGAGGTTTTAGAGGAGAGGCATGAGAGTAATGCTTAGGGCAGCCAATGTGCAGGGTGGGCCAGAGTCTGAGGAAGTACTGTATTTCTGGCTACTGCAAAAGGTAAGAGCAGAGAGAATTCAGGACCATACTTGGAGGG